GCCACTGTTACAGCTTTCCTCAGGGCAAGAAGCGTACCACTACCAACTCTTCGTGGATAAGGATGAGAAGCTGAATCTGCCGTCAGTTCAGACGCTGTTTGATCAGTCCTTCCTTACCTCAGATATCAAGCTGAAGCAAGTGAGTCTGGACTCTTCATAAAAAGCTTGACTGTTCTGGTTTTCTATTGATTTTTTTTTATGTAAGTATATAAATGATTTTTTTTTTTTTTTTTTTTTTTTTTTGTTATTCCTTTCTTCCAGGTTGATCTTCCATATTTTTTTGTATTTCAGGTTCCGTCCTGTTTAATAATCCAAATGCCAAGGTTTGGAAAGGACTACAAGATGTACCCAAGAATATTGCCTTCCATGGTTTTAGATGTTACTGATGTTATTGAAGATTGTAAGTTAAGCTGTGAACTTATTTTCACAATTATGAGAACTGTTTGTGGACACATCCTATTTTTGAATGAAAAATCATAATTGAAAAAGGATTGGATAACAATTATGGTGTAATTATATATATACTTTGATAGTTTTTTTGGTTTCTTTCTAATATTATCCTTTCACATTACAATAGCACCTCGCCAATGTATCATCTGTGGAAAGCTTGCAGAATATGAATGTCGAGAGTGCTTTGGCCAGTGTGGATCAGGCCTGGAAAGTATTGCATTCTGTGCCAAATGCATGGACAAGGTTTGTAATTTTTTTATGTTCATATGAGGATCTTTTTTTTTCAAGATTGAAAGTGTATGAAAGGAATTGTATCACTTCTCTCTTTCGTATTTTTTTCTAAAGTGTCCTTTATATGATATAGTAACTGAAATCAGTGTTTTTATACATATTTGAAATCTATTTCCAGATAAGATAATCAATGATGATTGATTCAGAACCCTTTTCCACAGGTTCACAGCCATAAGAAAAGGGGAAGTCACGCATCAACCCGAAAGCTGAAAGTGCCCCCAGACTTCCAGGTATGTCAATGTTGATTTTGAGGTTCATACCTGAACCTTCTGTAGCATAGGATAGTGAAAAAAATAGAAAAGGATGATATTTGATATTTAATGTGTTGGGGTTCTTGACTTAGAATTGTGTTAATTGATAGAATAAGCAAAGGAAAATGCATGTGCTTTAGTTATGGTACCTGGCTATTGTAAAATGAAATAAAGTATTTTTAACTTAACGAATAGTCATGTATGTATTTGAAATTATTTGACATTACATGTCAATTATATGCTGCTCTCTTAGTCGCATGATTTTCTTGTATCAGATGTTAGCAGACCACTGTGGATCCATTCCGAGAGTGTACATGGAGCTCTTTGCTGTTGTGTGCATTGAGACATCGCACTATGTTGCTTTCACGCGGTGTGGTTCAGGTGCTGATGCCACTTGGTGCTTCTTTGACTCCATGGCTGACAGGAAAGGTAAATATTCTTATGCTGAGAGGACAGGCTTTTGCACATAGTCTCAGAGGATAGCATCCCCTGTCTGTATGCCTCTATCAGAAAAATATATTGAAATTATTGATAATGTTAATATGAAGAAAGCCCTCCCTATCTATTTGGCTTCCCTTTTATACGTTCCAACTTTCTTCATATGTCCCTCTATTTTCATTTCTCCCTTCTTCCTTCTTTTATTATGTCAATTTTGTTTCTTTTATGCAATTTCTCCACTGGCAGTAGATGATAATGATTGGAAACCTTTCTGATAAAATGTAACCAAACAAAACAGTACAGTTGCCCACAAAAGTTCATGACCACATAGCTTGCATGTTTTTGTCAATGTAGCTGGTAACACTGGGAGGAGGGAGGAGTTAAGAGTATGTGAAACAGAGAGTGAGCTGAAATAATATGTAGATGGGACAGTTAAATTGTGCTTGTAGACAGGTCTGTAAGGTTGTTATTCATAATTGGTAACAATCAGGCATGAAAAAAAAAATGTAAGTGTTAATTAACGTAATTATCACATGATTGACAGATACCATACAACAACAATGGTTCTTGGCAACACAGTGTGCAAATACATTCATTAAGTTTTTTTTTTTCTTTTTTTTTTTTTACTTGCCTGATTGTTACCAATTATGCTAAACATCCTTACAGATCTGTCTGTAAACACAATTTGAATGTTCCATCAGTGGCTATCTACGTAACAGTTCAGCTCACTCTCTATTTCATGTACTCTTGACTCTTCCTTGCACACAGTGTTACCAGCTATGTTGATGAAAACCTATCAGGCATGTGGTCACAAACTCTTGTGGCCAACTGTACAATACCAGGTTTACGGTGTAATCATTCCATCCCTGTTGCTAACATTTCTCTCTGAAATTGAAGGTGAACAACACGGCTACAACATCCCAACAGTAGTGGAATGTGGAGACCTCATGCAGTGGGTGGGAGAGGAAGGCAGCCAGATGCTCCACGCTGTTACCGATAACAAAGCCCTACCTGACCTCCCCCGACGCCTGCTCTGTGATGCATACATGTGCTTTTATCAGAGCCCCAAAGTCATGATGTATAGATAAGATATGAGGTTTTTGCATAATTGCAGTTTGTTTTTGACAGCATAATTGCAAAAATGTTGATGAAATTCATTGCACTGGAGGAAATGAATGTGTGATATCAGGTATTGCCCTCTCCCTAACTCTCTTTAAAAAGGTGTACAGTATTGTTGAAATTCAAACCAGTGTTGCAGAAACTCACACAAATTAAGAGAAGAAAAATAGAGCACAAAGCTTCCAGTTCATAATAGCTCTGTGGTCTATGGGTTGCATAACCATCACAGGGGGGGCTATTGCACTAATCCAGCCTAATTGCCTGATTATAGCAGAACTAGGTACTGGGTCAGGCCTGGAAGTCCTTCAGCCTTTAACCAGAATACCAGCTTGGTTACATTGTTGGTCTAGGGAGACTTCTATTTACTGTTTTACAGATTTTATCTTGAATAAAATAATAAGTTCTGCAAAATGAAGGGGTTATTAAACTGATATTTATGGTTGGAACAGATTATTAATGGTACACTTTTATTGTATCTTATTCTGATGTGTGAAAGCTGCCGTCAGGTTTTTTGCTTTTTGGTTCCTTTGAAATGTAATGTGCTTCTTTGATTTCAAAATTTGAATTGTAACTGGAGCAGAGACAAATTTTCCGAAGGCAGGTAAGGTAGCCCTTATTTTGCTATGACATCCATGTAGTCAAGTGTCATGACTATGATGACTTGAGATTAATATTCTGTTTAGCTTTATGTGAGTAAAAGCTACTAATATGCTAGTCCAGATTAATTTTTTTTTATCCTTTTCTTCAGGAGTAGATGAGGACTATGTATCATGCTTGTGTTCTAAATGATTTGGTATTACATATAATTGTATCTCTTGAGGTCTGGTGCAAAGGGTTATATATACTGTATGTATTTTTTTTATTGCTTAACAAACTGAAATCTTCCTGTTGTCATCACAAAAGCTTACTTGGATTGACATAGTCATATGCTGAGCAGCAAGATTCCTAGAGAAAAAGAGGCTTGAGTATCATACAGACTGGAATTGTTTCATGAAAATTATCTGCTTTATAGTAATAGAGGTTGTAGATATAGTTTTAACATTTTCCATAAATTGTATGTTATTTTGTAAGATGAATTTGCATGATTTTTCTGTCCTTTTAGTTTCATAGTACAGCCATTTTATACTTCCTATTGGATAAGATGATGGTGTATGTCAGTGGTAAACAGACTTTTCTGGCCATATTTTGGGCCACGTGTCATGTCTTCTTGCTATGACCTAGTCTCCCCTCCTCTTGCTGCCACCAATACTTTTGTCACCATTTATTGATAACTGAATATATCACATTTCCATTGCATTTATACAGAACACATTTTGACTGACATTAACTGGATATCATTTGTATTAGATCATGTATTATGCAGACTATTTATATTATAATGAAACAAAAGGAAAAAAAGTTGTTTTCACAGCATTAGATGGGAATCGGAGTAATAAATTTTTGTTCATTCTTCTAAATTTCATCTATTAGTTTTGATTTTTGTGTGCCCAAAGCAAGAGACTCTAATTTACAATGATTAATAGTGAGTGAAAATGTAAACTACAGCCTGGATAGATGTGCTTAGAGCTCATGCAAGTTTCAAACTTGAGCAGCAGTCAGCTTTGCCAAATTGTATATGTGCTAGTTAGTCTTGACTTTGTGATAGTTTATGAAATGTATTAAATTTTAATGACACATGAATATAGAGTCTGGTTTTGCTTTTTTTTCTTGTGTATCCCTTGCTATTGTGAAGTTGCACCCCAAGGTGTATATACACTGCTGTTTAGGAACTGCTCGATTATGTCACACACTTAATTCTTTCATTTTTGGAAGGTGAGTCTTTTTATTTTAAGTATATTACCCTTTGAAAAGCACATTATTTTAGCAATGAAATATATATTCTCATATGTCAGAAAGGAAAATGTAATTAGTTTTGATATTTGAAGTAATTTCATGGATTTATATAGTTTTGAAAAATAACTTACCTCAAGTAGAGCTAATATAGTTAATATAGTTTGAACAAGCAAGTGATGATATCACTTTGCTTGCAGAGGAGCAGGAATGATGCGAGTGATGCTGAGAGAGTGTATTTGCTAGTCAAAGGCCGGGAAAAATGAGAAGAATAGAAAAGAATGACAGGAAAAAAAAAATATATATATATATACATGTATATTCATTTACAAATACTGGGTAGGATTCAGAATTTAGAGGGCCCAAAAGTATGAGGCTTGGAGGCCGTTTTTAAAGTAAAAATAGGGTTATATAAAACTTGAGAACATTAATATCTTTTAATCTGTAGTATAAAACAAACAAATAACTCATATTAAAGCAGTACATAATATATTCTAATATATTCTAAAAGGCCACCAAAATTGGGAGGTCCCTTGAAATTTGCAGTGTTTTGCCAATGAATTCCAGCCATTTTTGAATTTCCTCTCTCAGTCTTAAAATATTGTACCCTTACTTTATTGCCCATATCTAGATGTCTAACTTTTTAAATTGTCAGACTAATGATTGTCATTTCATCATGAAACATGCCCTATCCATCATCACTTCTTAATTTTTTCAGCCTGTATATTATCTTTAATGGTCTGTTGTATTATACATGCTCTTTTTCATTCTCTTGACAGTATGCCTATAATTGATCTTCCTGTGGGTCTTTCTTTTTTCTAATGATTTTTCACATTTCTGAGCCATTTGTTAAAAATGATACACACACATCCAACATATGTATATATACAGTATTTATATGCATAGGTAAAGGCCTGTCCAGTCATTTGGACCTGATAGGCTGGTATGCCTGAGAAGTGATATTAGAGGGCAAAACTATTGGCTAAACAATTGATACCACTTGTAAATCAAGTGTCAAGTCATCGGTTTGCCTGTCCTACTTAGGCATGCCCTCAGATCAAGCCTACTTTTCTGGACATGCTTAAATGTGTGTGCATGCACACAGGTGTATACATGTAATGCTGGCATTTTTATGGTGTACCATTTCAAAGTCATATATAGCTTTGGAGATTGTATGAAAAGTTTTAAAGTTGTTCCTCTTCATATGGCATATTAACCCACTGACTCTGGGTTTATGTACAGTCCATTGTAGTTTTTTTTGTAAACTTTGTTGCCCACAGATGGCTCCACAAGTGCTCAGCAACCAGGGAGTCTGTTAGTAGACCCTAGTGATTTCTCCATTCCTCAGATTTGTGGGATTTTTTTTTCTAATGCTATTGATATCATTACTGTTATTATTATCACTGATGTAATGATTATTATAATGTTATTAGAATACTAATAACAATAGATAGTAATGTAATAGAAAAGAATCAAGGAAAGGGTAAACAGAAGGAGGTAGGACTCATAGTTTATCCTTTGTTGACTTAGTACTTGTGGAGCCACATATGTGTAAAAAACAGTTAAATAAAATTACATTAGGCATGGCATTATATCATGCCATCGGCTGCCAATAGGTTAAATGTGGTCAAGTGAAGAATGCAACTATACTTTATTTCATAGTAATATTAAAGATGACAGAATTGACCTTTACACTTCCTCAGGTTCCTTCCAAGTTGAGAGGAAACCATTTGATATTTTACTGAGAAATAATAATAATGTGTGAATATAAGCATAGGTATGATTAATGATTATCAAGATTAAGATAAATTAATATCAAGAACATACCCAGGATTGTCTTTCCCAAGGTGTTAGGGTGTATATTTTTTCAGATATTAGAAAATCAGAGCACTTAATATTTTTCAAAAGACCATAAGCAGATATACTTGGCTTAATGTTTTTTTTTTTTTAAGAAATAAGTGCCAAAAGTTAATGGAGACCTATTTTGCTTATAATTTTTTTTTTCTTTAGGACAAGGAGTAAGATATGGTGATTGGTTTACAACAGTTAAAAGGCATAATGTCTCAGGAATTATAGTCTTACCTGTTTCTGTTTCCCATTTGAACTTATTTATATTTTCCAACTTTTTCAGTCCTTTAAAAGATAATTTTACAGTATCTATCTATTGTATGTTTGTGTATGATTCATTACTATGTTTTTTATTGAATTACTTGTGGGTCAAATGATCTTTTATTGCCGTTGTGCATTGTGTTTGTTATTTATCTTTTTCTCCAATCACTGCATTAGAATTGCCCAACTTGTTTCCTACACAAATGCTTTCCTGCCCTTTTATATGACAAGGGATGAAAGAAAACTGTTGCCTTCAATTGCAGTATATGTAGTTCCAACTTAGCAACTGAAAGTGGGTTTTATAGAACTCCCTTTTGGTAGTCTTGAAGGAAGTCACTTTGCAGTTTTAATCAAAATGTACCATACTTATTGTGTTGCATTTGTAATGTTCAGGTTGATTTGAGGTTTAGTAAAGAGAGTAACAGTAGCTTTGTTTTGTGAACTAACTTTCAAGGTTAATGCCTGATGTACAGTATGTGTTCTTTGAAGCCATTCTTTGTATAGTCTTCATGTTGTACTTAACACTGCTTCACCATGCTTTGTTACTGTCATTTTAAAGCTAAGCCAACTTGTTTTTAAAAATTTGTTGATTACATAGCCTCTCTATATATAACACACCTTGACAGGGATTGAAAGATTTAATATAATTTGCCAAGCCATTACTCATCAGGAGTGGATCCTGCAAAATTTATTTGTTAAAGAAAAAATATAAGCTACATATTTTTTGCATTATTTTTATGCCTAATTGTAAAATCATTTAGAATAATTTACAGTGTTTTAGTTATTGTAGAAAAAATGTAAATGATAAATATAGTTCAGTAAATATTGTTGTTTTCTAGCAATATAGTGTAATATTTGGAGGATATACAAGAGTTTTAGTAGAATATGTCTATTTCTGTAATTGGTTCAAAATAGTGTAGGAGTATTTTGTGAATATATGTTGCTTATAGTTATTGTGCCTCCAAAGCCTTTCCAATCTTGTTTTAAAACAATAAAGGTACACAAAATATAATGAGATATTTTAAAGTGTTCTTGCATAAGAGATTGTTTTTAATAAACTACTTGTGAAAGAATATTTTCATAATGGATATAGAAAATTCTTGTTGACAGTCAGTATACTGATGGTAAGTGCAATCACATGTACTGACTTTTTCAAGTTGTTAATTAAGATTTAAGCTTTAAGTAATTTTAGAGTACTATATCCTGATGGTATGCATAGGGAGAGATTAAACAATAAAGATACTAATAATAGTAATAATGATAATAGTATATTCATTCAGTTAAAATGACTGCATCAGTAGTCATAATCTAATGTTTTTTATTTATTTTAGTCATGTATGAATCAGTATGTATAGAGGTTTGAGCTAGAATTACTTCAAATTTGTAGTTGCATTGTCTTGTTTGCTCTTATGAATGACTTTTAAGTTAAATTCCTTAAACAAAAGTATACAATTAGAGTTTGAATATATCTGTGCAAACTACCTACATATAACATATTTATGTATATACATTTATGTACATTTATTACATATACATATATACAGATATATATACAGATGCATATATATGTACATTATATATATATATATATATATATATATATATATATATATATATATATATATATATATATATATGTATATATGTATATATGTATATATATATAATAGATAGACACACACACACACACACACACACACACACACACACACACACACACACACACACACACACACACACACACACACACACACACACACACACACACACACACACACACACACACACACACACATATATAGTTATGTAATGGTGCAAATATACAAATAGTATGCTTGAACATTAATTGGTTTATTCATGTGATTACATGAATAAACTTTAACACACTATGGATAAATTTCTTCAGGTGAATTTCACAACAGTCACACTGCCAAGAATGGCAATTATGTTTTGTGATTGGGATTGCAAGGCATAGTACATGATATTTATGTTGAAGGATGTGAAACTGCAAGCTCTAGTCAGATTTCCCTGTAGAAAGGATACGAGTAAGATTTTTCTTTTTGCAACCTTTGAAGAGCAGCCTCCATCATTAAAAGAATATTAATTTTTTTCTTTTTCTTTTTTTTCTGGATTCTGTCAGGTCCTGAGGTCAGATATTGTATACTAGTTTATTAGTATTAATTACTGCTCCATGTAAAATTTAGTTTTAATTTATTCAAGTATTTTGAAATTAGAAATTCGTAGTAAATGCTGTTATTCAATTTCTTTTTTATTAATATGAATTAATCAGAAAAAGGAAAAAAAAATATATATATTACTCTTATAAGTTCACCATTGATTTGAACACTTTTTTGAATTTGTTACTTCATGGATTTAATGTTCTTGTTTCTGGTTTTGACTCGAGAAGCACTGATCATTGTTGATCCTAAAATTTGTATTTAAGAATCTTGTATCATAGCTTTAAAACACTTTTGTTGATTTTTTTTTTTTTTTGTAAAGGTGTGGGGAAAATGTACGTAGCAGCATGGAAAGTGTATAAATATACTAAAGACAAAAATGACTTGAACCTTTTACTAGTCTTTTCCTTTGCCATAATCAGCTTTTACCTCTTATGAATTCATATTGTGAATACCAAAAACTTAAATCTATAACAAAGCTGTTCGTGACATGTCTTTATGTAATAAAGATAATAAGGGTGTTTTAAAAGAAAACTTGTCTTCTTAATCTTATCTAATAAAAAGACTTGGTTAAATATTTTACAATTAAGGCAGTAAACAAGAGACTGTTATTTCCAAGTTTTTGGTAATTAGATACAAATTATTGGTAATATAGTTCCTATTTGCGTAAGTGTATTAACATGTGCATAAGGTTTACAACAAATAATGCTTAAAAAACTCTAAAACAGATACTTGTATTAAATTGAATGAAATCTTGAAGAGGACAGACAGTGATGGATTAAGTTAAAGGTATTTGTAGAAAGTATACTCAAGTGTGAAGTACATCACAGTTACATATGAGAGAGAGAGAGAGAGAGAGAGAGAGAGAGAGAGAGAGAGAGAGAGAGAGAGAGAGAGAGAGAGAGAGAGAGAGAGAGAGAGAGAGAGAGAGAGAGAGAGAGAGAGAGAGAGAGAGAGAGAGAGATTAAAAAGAAAGAGTAAAAAATGAGAAAAGAGAGAAGGAAAAAAGGCAGAATTTAAAAGATACGTGTATTGAATTAATTAATCTTATGGGGATAGACAGTGACAGAATTAGTTTGAGGTATTTATAGAAGAGTATGCTCAAATATGAAGCACATACATATTGAGAACACTTACATATGAAAGAGATAGTGAAAGAAAAAGACACAACCTGAGAAATAGAAATAAAGCGGGAAATAAGAGGAGAAAGAGAGAAAGACCTTGTACAAAGAGAAAGTGCTTCTACAGACCTTGTACAAGTGCTTCTATACACCTTTTACAAGTAGTTCTGTAGACCTTGTACAAGTTCTTCTTTAGTCCTTGTACAAGTGTTTCTATAGATCTTTTACAAGTACTTCTATAGACTTTGTACAAGTGCTTCTATAGACCTTATTCAAGTGCTTCTATAGACCTTATTCAAGTGTTTCTACATGCCTTTTACAAATGCTTCTGTAGACCTTGTACAAGTGCTTCTATAACCCTTGTACAAGTTTTTTTTTCTATACAACTTGTACAAATACTTCTATAGACCTTGTACAAGTGCTTCTATAGACCTTGTACAAGTACTTCTATAGCCTTTGTACAAGTTCTTATATAGCCTTTGTACAAGTTCTTATATAGACCTTGTACAAGTGTTTCTAAAGACTTTATACTAGTGCTTCTATAGACCTTGTACAAGTGTTTCTACAGACCTTGTGCAAGTGTTTATAAAGACCTTGTACAAGTATTTCTATAGACCTTGTACAGCTGTGTCTATAGACCTTGTACAAGTGCTTTTATAGACCTTGTACAAGTGTTTCTACCGTACAAGTGTTTCTATGGACCTTGTACAAGTGTTTCTATGGACCTTGTACAAGTGCTTCTATAAACCTTATACAAGTACTTCTATAGACCTTGTACAAGCTGTAGACTTTGTACAAGTGCTTCTACAGACCTTGCATAAGTGCTTCTATAGCTCTTGTACAAGTGCTTCTATAGACTTTGTACAAGTACTTCTATTGACCTTGTACAAGTGCTTCTATAGCCCTTGTACAAGTGCTTCTATAGCCCTTGTACAAGTGCTTCTATAGCCCTTGTACTGTACAAGTGCTTCTATAGCCCTTGTACAAGTGCTATAGCCCTGTACAAGTGTTTCTATAGACTTTGTACAAATACTTCTATAGACCTTGTACAAGCTATAGCACTTCTACAAGTCCTTCTATAGCCCTTGTATAAGTGCTTCTGTTGACCTTGTACAAGCGCGTCTATAGGTCATGTAGAAGTGCTTCTATTGACCTTGTACAAATGCTTCTATAGACCTTATACATGTGCTTCTATAGACCTTGTATAAGTGTTTCTATAAGACCTTGTAGATGTGCTTTAACCCTTGTAACCCTTGTTCAAGTGCTTCTATAGACCTTGAATGACTGCTTTTTTAGACCTTGAGTAAGTGCTTCTTTAGACCTTGTACAATTGCTTCTATAATACAAGTGTTCTGTAGCCCTTGTACAAGTGCTTCTATAGACCTTGTACAAGTGCTTCTTTAGACCACAAGTGCTTCTACCTTGTACAAGTGCTTCTATAGACCTTGTACAAGTGCTTCTCCTTGTTCAAGTGTTTCTATAGACCTTGTACAAGTGCTTCTACCTTGTACAAGTGCTTCTATAGCCCTTGTACAAGTGCTTCTATAGACCTTGTACAAGTGCTTTCTATAGACCTTGTACAAGTGCTTCTATAGACCTTGTACAAGTGCTTCTATAGACTGTACAAGTGCTTCTATAGACCTTGTACAAGTGCTTCTATAGACCTTGTACAAGTGCTTCTATCCTTGTTGCTTCTGTTCAACCTTGTACAAGTGCTTCTATTGTTTTTCTCCTTGTACAAGTGCTTCTATAGACCTTGTACAAGTGCTTCTATAGACCTTGTACAAGTGCTTCTTTAACCTTGTTCAAGTGTTTCTATAGGCCTTGTACAAGTGCTCCTTTAGACCTTGAGCAAGTGCTTCTATAGAGCTCATACAAGCGTTTCTATAGCCCTTGTACAAGTGCTTCTATGGACCTTGTACAAGTGCTTCTAAAGACGTTGCGCAAAAAATTCTATGGCCCTTAAGGGTTGGAAGGAATTCGTTTTATTTAGTAAATAATTTAAATGGCCAACTATTTTGATGCTTCCAAGGACACATTCTTGAACAAGTGCAGATGTATATGGAGCCCTTACATGCAGATTCAAGAATGATCTAATATACATGATATTAACACAAAGTATAAAACATGGCAAATGCACCTTGTTTTACATGAAGACTCGGGTGTCCTCAGCTATACTAAGAAAAAGAGTTTATTTCAGATATTTTAGACGATGTAACTACCGGACAGAGTAAAAAGTGTGCGATTTACGATCACAAAACTGACAACTTATCTTTTTAAACAGTTGGGTATTGCAATACAAACAATAATGCTACTTTAGGTATGGCTTTAGATTTTTTAAAATCCAAAAGAAAAAGAAAGTGGAAGGAGTGGGACACTAAATATACAATTTAAACGAAATTTGAATCGAGGAGACAGACAGCTCTGAAAATGAAAATATTCATGACCGTGCGAAAGGCTCGGCGGAAAGGCTGGGGCATCCAATGATTCTGAACAAGCAGTTTTTATCCATGTTATCACTTATTTAAGCGAGGGAGCTGGCTGTTTGTATGAAATGATGAATGAGTGGAAGGAATGAAGAACTAGTAAGAAAGAAGAGGGAGTGGGACACACACACACACACACACACACACACACACACACACACACACACACACACACACACACACACACACACGCACACGCACACACACACACACACACACACACACACA